TCACGGTGAAGTCTCCACCCGAAATTAAGTTATATATAGTTTGATGTCGGCGAAATTAAAAGGTCAGTACAATGTTTATATAAACTTTTCAAATATTGGCTGAGAAACTATTTAATACTATTTAATTTTTGTATTGAGATAATAAAATAATTTTTACATCAGTATTATTTTACACTTTATTTTAACGATTTTATGACATTTGACAACTGTTAAATAACTTAAAACGCTTCAGCACGTGATTTAAAACCTGTTGCCAATTCAGCCCGTGAATAAAACGCCATAAAGCCCCAACTTCTTAATGTGTATTTAAAAGGTGTCATGGAAACGATAATGGGCGTTTTAAATGTGGAAGTAGAAAAAACTAATTTATGTGTGGAAAACAAATATTAAGATTAAGATTAAGACAAGAAACAGAAACAAAAGCAAGTACTCTTACAATTAAAATTTTAAAATATACTTATTTTTATATGAACACTCTAAAAATGAATTAGTCAAAAATGACTAATTGTCAAAGCGAAAAAGCAGCCACTAATAATTCTCGTCAATAGCAATTTGTCTCCCATGCATTTAGGCTAAATGATTTAGCAGTTAATTTTCATGTAAAATCCGAATCCGAAAATGTCAAAAGTTAAAAAAGTAGAACAGTTTTTGAGATATAGTCAATTTTCCATTTAATATGGAATTGGCTATATCTCAAAAACTGCTCTACTTTCTTAATTTTTGACGGTATTTTAGGATTCAGGGGATACCATGGTATACCATGATATCCTATGGTTAACCATGTTACAAGTGAAAAAGCAGCCACTAATAAAGTTGTGTAGTAATTAGTCATTTTTGACTAATTCATTTTTAGAGATAATGTTTTCCAAATTTTGTTAAAAAATAACCCGGCGCTTTCTCCATTTTTGGAAAACAAAAGCAAGTACTTTTACAATTCAAAAAATTATTTATTTAGACTCAGATTTATGATATCATAAAAATTTAAAAAAGCCATACGGATATTAAGTACTTACCTAGTTGCATTATGCATTATGCCACAATAATCCAGACAAAAGTTTTAAAAAAATTTCATTTCTTAAATAATATTATTGATTTTTACAATTAAATATTTCGGCAATATTTATTTAGAAAGTTTATAACATGTACAATACTACAAAAATTATGAAAATTGTTGTGTATACAATGGATACAATAGACTATAATAAAAAAGTATTTAAGTAGTTTGTTTACACTTTTTTGTGAACAAATGCAATTTTGACCCAGTCGATCATCTTTAATTAAAGTTATTCTTGATGGAGTATGCAGTAAATATAAATAAGAACACAAAATTAGTAAGTGCTAAAAAACAATTTTTTATTGCGCGCCGCTTGCACTGCACATTAGGGAGGAGCGAAAAACATCCAATTTTTTTTCTCTTTAAATTAGCATTAGTGTGGAAAAGTTGCCTATTGTAATCTCGATTACAGATGTGAAAGCTTTTTTGAAATTAAAAAATATTTAGAGGGTCCGCGTTTTTATTATATAATAATTAATTTTCAAAAAATTATTAATTATTTTAATTTGAATATACATTAGCTTGCAAAAGTCTTATTTTAGTATACAGATAAAAACCATTTTTGTTTTCTTTCTCTTAAAAAAGATATAGGTAGTGTTTTTAAAAATTTTTAAAATTTGCTATCCTTTTTTCTCATGCGGACTCTAAAGATGATCGAAAATTTAGTAATTCTTTATTTTAAACGTATAGTAATGATCAACTTTTAATGTGTAAAGCAAGTCAAGAAAAAAAATATTTTGCTTACCCTATTGAAAAAAAAACATATTTTTAAAAATTTTTGCCATTTTTTGTTTCACATGCGGACCCTGAATATGATCAAATATTTAGTATTTTTTTATTATTAATAAACTGTATACTAATGCGCAACTTTTGGCGCGTAATGTGTATTTCAACTCAAAAAAAATATTTTTCGCTCCACCCTACTGCACGTACCTGCCGCCCGCTCGTGACCATAAAGTATTAGGTCCCAAACTTGTTTATTTATTGTACTTGCGGCGCGCAATAAAAATTGTATTTTTTAGCATTTACAATTGAGATCACAAAAAGTTTCTGAAATTTTTTTTTCTTATTTATATTTACAACATACCTACTTAATAAAAAAAATAATTTAAGATGAGATTCTGGTTAAAAATTGCATTTGTTTACAAAAAAGTTAAATAAACTAGGTAGGTACTTTTTTAAAGGTCTATAATAATAATAATAGACAATAATTGTATCCATGAAAATTTCAGCTAACAATTTTCAAACCCAACCATTATTGTACATGTAATTAATTTTCTAAATATCACCAAAATATTTATTTTTAAAAATAAGTAAAAAAATATAAATTTTTTCAAAGCATTTGGGTGGATTACTGTTGAATTGTTACCTACTTAATATCCGTCAATCTCAGGCTTACTTCAGGAAATTAGACTTTTTATTAATTTATTATATTTTGCAAATTTACATAAGTATATCAAAATAACAATTAAAAATTTGGTGAAAATTTAAATTTATTTTTATTTACATTAACATACGTCTAGAAACTCTTATAATAATCTTATAACCAAATGAAAGAATTGAAATTTGCAAATATTAAATATAATTTCTTAGAAATCTTTGGTTAGAAGTAGTTTTGTACATGTTTATTAACTAAGAAACATTTTATTCCATAATATTATTTTCTGGTTCAATATTATAACCATCAACAATATTATTATTACTTAATTGTCTCAACCATATCATAGTATAAGGAAATTATGGAACAAAATATCGAAAATGCCCCCATGACTTTCCATCAATTTTTTGAATGCTTAAATTCGCAAATAACACTTTTTTATCTTTGTGTTTTGAAGCATTGGGATTCTTAAAGTGAATTTTAGGGAACCCAAAAAAAATTTGTTGCGCGTGAAATCCCAAGATCTCCGTGGTCAATTTCTGTGTGCATTACTTAAAATTAGTCTGCCAGGAAATGTATCATGCAATAGTTTAGGGTGTGTAAGTGTCTGTTTAAGTTTTTGTACCATAACTTAAAAAATCACAAATTTGAAATGTATATATCAAACTTGCAGGGCCGGATTAAGACAATTTGTCTCCCTAGGCCAATAATAACGGCGCCTATAATTACAGCCCATATTAGTACCTATGGTATTAATATAACACAATACATGTTAGCCGACAGGGGTGCAGATAGGGAAACAAGTAGGGTTTTATAAAAAAATTACAATAAAAAAAATAATAAAAAAAAAATATTTGTATAAAGAAAAACAAGAAAAAATAAAAGAAAAACCTATGAAGAACTAACTTAATTTTTACAATTTTTTAATAACCCAAAAACAGAATTTAACATTTCGTCGTTAATACTGCAAAAGGTCACTTTGACGCCTTTCTGCACAGGGGGAACCAACCCACTAAAATAAAAAAAAAATCGAGATAATTAGGTAACCCATACATATATCCCGATTTTTTTATTTTTGTGGGTTATTTCTCTTCTGCAGAAAGGCGTGACACGACCTTTTGCATTATCAACGACGTTATTATTTCCGAATTTGCTTTTAAAATAAAATTACACGTTTAATAATTATAATTATTTATAATTATTTATTTTAATTGATTAATTATAATATTTAACCTACTTAAAAAAATTGAGCCTTCTGCCTTGGCGCCTTTTGGCTTTGCGGCGCCCTAGGCCATGGCCTAGGCTGGCCTATAGGTTAATCCAGCACTGCAAACCCGGCGCTCTTATTGGGTTACCTTTTTATATTATGTTTTAATTAATTAAACATTTAACTTTACTTTGGATCTCTTTAATATGTAGGAATATATTTGTATTATTTCCTTTATTTATGTAAAAAAAAAGATGATGCTAAGTGATCTCTTTAAAAAAATAATACCCAAAGAAAATGGTAGACAAATGTTTTTTTGTTATGTTTAACATTTTATGGAAAAAGTGTAGCAATATTTTTGTAAATGGCTTAAATCAAGACTTTTTATCATTTTTAAGTTTATAAACTATAGGCCATTAGCTTATTTTTATACATTTTAAGTTATGTGTTTTGCTTATCATGGGTGTTATAGTAAATAATTTTCATGTTATAACTATAGGACTATATGTATTTATAGATCTCATTATTTCTTAATTCATTGCAAATAATTTTGGCAGTAGGTCAAAAGAATTAGAGTATTCACGCTGTGAATAATAGAAAAGTAATTAATATTTTAATAATTAATATTCACGAATACGTAGATACGAAGATACCGTAGAAAACGATTTTTTTAATATTTTCTTTTTTGTAAAGGGTGATTTATATGAATGGGGCACCCTTACTTTGACAAAAATAAAAATCTAGCCTGCATTGTTTTAAAAAGTAATCTTTTCGACATAAATTTAAAAAAAAGCTCATTAAAGTTGATTAGAAAACCAAATATACTTTTAAAAACCAAGATTTAACAAACAGACCTATAGTAAAGATTGAAAAGGTATAATTGTAAGCAGTTATTAATTTATTTATTCATTATTCACTCATGCAAGTTACAAACTTTTTTAAAAAGATTTGTATAAATAATTAAAAATATATGAGGAGTTTTATAAAAATCCATGCTATTTGGATTTGGTATTTTATCTACTCCCACATTGACAAGCTGTAACTTTATGGTGTTTTAGTCACGCGGTGAAGTTACCATACTTATGTTAAAATAAGCATAATTTTACCTAACAAAACGAGCAAATAATTATACAAATTATACTATATATTCAAAATAAAAGCATTTTTTTTTAATATTTAACAAAACAATATTATAATTGAACCAAAGTTTTTTTGTATTTTTAAGAACATTCATGCTAATCTTTAAACATCTATAACGGATTTCGTATTTATATTAAACCACACTGTACGCGTATCAAAAATATATACTTTTAATAAAAATTAAAGCCATGTATAATAAATTGTAATAACATTAAACTTACTTTTTAATGCCCAATTTGTAGTTCTCTTAAGCCCATCCAAATAAAGGCTTACGTCTCTTCGGCACCCCGAAGACAGGGTGTTTTTTACCCTGCCAAAATTGGCGGCCAAAATTTCGGTATTGTAAAAATCCAGCACCCTCGACAAACTGGCCCTTACCGTTGTCGTAGAATCATCACTAACACTGACATTAATTGAGGGTAGTTTGTATTTAGGCTCCACGGTAAGTCCCTCTTTGAATTCCATTTCCTTTAGCTCTTTGTCCAGGGCATTTTCTGTCGTTGAATTTGTTAGAACACATTTTAGGTATATCAAAACAAATAAAGTTTTTAAAAAAATCATATTTTTACGCGTTACTTTTATTTGTATTAACGCACGCAAGTTGGAGTAAAACTGCAAGAGATCACCGGTGCCGGTGTATAGTAGTACTATTTGCAAATCCTCAGTTACGTTCCCTACCACTTTCTCTTTCTTGCTGCCCAAATTTTTCATAGCATTTCTCCCATTAAAGGTTTTTCGTCCGTCGGTATTATGCAACAGCCTTTTACAGACAAGACAATGGATTCGAACTTACGTGTCTTATTTTTATTGTATTTATCGCAATATTAATTTATTGAGTTTTGATACTTAATATTATTAAATTAATTAAATTACATACATAGGTATCTCACTTTTATTGTTCTAAAAAAATCCGTATAATAGATATATGTATAATAGACATTTCCTACCTGTACAATAATGATATTGTGATACAAACTTTTCATTACGATACATTTTTTAACCAAAAAGTTTGAATTTCAAACAAAATATAGTACATATACCTACTAAAAATATGAGTTTATATATTTATAATAGAACATTTTTCTTGTCACATTGTATTAAGTTAATTTGACAATAAAAAAATCCATTATTTCTAAAATGGAGGATTTTTAAGAAAGAAAAAAATAAGTAGGTATATAGTATAAAAATAGGTACCCAAATTTGTACCGGGTCCCGAGCCTCCTGTGTGGTACCCAAATTTTCCAAATTCCAAAAATTTTATTTTCCTATTAATTATTACAAAACTGACATATATACAGGGTGTTTCACATTCGTGATCCATTAGAAGTTTCTGGGGAATGGATAAAAATTGATTTGAAATTTTAAAATCAACTTTGTTATTTCAAATAGAACACCCCATATATTTTTACATTTTTAAAGTCTACATAAAATTCTGAGTAAAATTACTATGTCCTATACCTTAGTTTTCGAGTGATTAATTTTGTTCGTTAAATTTTGACAAATGCACCGCAATCAAAAACAGCCCATACATTTTTTGTTATTAGGTTTGGGGATATGGAGGTGGAATTTTGGGATCATAAAACATTGTTTAAAAGATCCCATGTCATTTTTTTAAACATTTTTTAACAAATTACCTTAGAAAACCCAAATTAGGCTAACTTGAAACATTACCTAATCAAATAGTAAATTAAAAAACCTTTTGATTGATATAAATATTTCCTATTCCCTATTCCCTAAAATTTTAAATATTATTTTGTATCAAGAAACCTATGACAGGTGAGTTGATGGTATCTATGGTTACCACGTAATCTGCTATTGTTCAAAATTGAATGGCGTCAATTTTTCAAGTTATAAACAAATTGTTGACTAATTAAGTGTTTTGTTAACAATATTACTGGTAAAAAAATAGCAGTCAGTGACTTTTAATAAACATTGACAATTCAAACTAGATGATGCACTAGCTGATTGGAGACGATAAAATTTATTTTATGAAATATTTTAATTACAAAAAGAATGCGTAACTGTAACAATTTAATAAACCAACAAAACTTTATTTTAATTTTTTCTACTAATTTATTACTTATTGTTTTAAGTGTCCTCCATTTACACTTAAGTATTTCTTAATTCTTACTTATACATTAGACGTTCCTCTTCTTGACTATTCTGGGTCTATTATTAGAAATTGTTAAATATCAATGAAATTGTTAAATTTAGATATAGGGAATATGAGTATAAGTATGAGTATAAGAGACGTATAACCGGCCCCATTGCATCATCGCTCTCGGGCCCCGCACAGGCCTCTGTTTCCTTAGGCCGATTTTCTTTAGCCACCAGCAACAGCACGGCTTCACGTGTTTGCTGGGTGCGAATGTTCATTGCGATCCGTATTACGCCACTATTGGCAGCCCTAAATAGAGGACAGTAACTGTCCCTATCCGGGTTCGCCGGGCCGATGCTGCGCCCAGAAAGGTCATGAAGGAGGTAGGACGGGAGGGATAGACATTTTGGTGTTTGGGGACAATTAGGCCGACTCAAATCTAAGTACGACGCAGTATTCCCCTAGACCAGGCAGTTAGTATTACTCCAAACATTTAAGATTACTGTATGGAGTTCGGGAGTTGTTATTTTGCTGCAGTAGTGCGAAATTTCTAACAAGTGTCCGTTTGTTTTGGTCTCGTTTTGTTTAAAGTTTATTTTGTTGGGGCCGTTCTCTTAAATTAATGGTTTTTTTCCCTTAAGCGTGTGTTGATGACAGATTTATTGTCCTACTCAGCTTTCGTGTAAGTTACCGTAGGATGGGACGGTTTTGTTTTTTTGTTGTCTTTACTTTTGGCGTTTGCTTACTATTGTCTTACCAATGTTACTATTGTCACTGATGCACTTTGTTTACTTTATGTTTTTTTCTAGATTTTAAGCAAAGTACCTAGTTTTTATGTAACTGCCGTTGCAATCCAATTTTGCAGATGGCCCTTTCATCCCTTGGATGTCATCTTTTGTTTGTCTCGTGAAAATCGTCCAATTGCCTCTAATAATCGAGGAAACCGAAGAACAGTTCCCCAAAACGATTCCTTTCTTCAAGTTCACAGAGTAACCATTAACATTCAATACTCTAAAAGGTACTTCTTTTCCGACACGTATTAAAGTCTTCCCTACTACAATTCCTCGACCGACCTCTTTGTCATCAATTCTCGGCTCCAGAAGCATTATACTTCCATCTTCTGATTTACAATCCAAGAAAGCCTTCAATATCATCTCGCTGTTTTCCGGTATCAAAGCATCTTCTGTTAGCATTACACGAATATTCTTTTCTTTAGATCGATGCAACACGACTTGCTCTCCATTTACCCTCAATATTCCTTGCTTAAAGTTCAGTTCAAATCCTATTGAGTTCATAATGTCCATGCCTACAATAACTTCATTTTCAATATCTGCAACTAATGCTCGATGTTTAAATTTCGTGTTTCCTATGACCATCGTGATGTCCACTTCTCCACGAACAGTAGCGGTTTCTCCTGTTGCAGTACGTAGTCGCCGATTGGTAGATTTGATCTTGGACATTTCGACAATATCTGGTCTAATAATTGTCTTCGTCGCACCTGTATTCAGCAGCAGCACATGTAATTTTCCATTAATTAAACCATCCACAAAAACACTGCTGGACTGATGTAGAAGAGATGCAACACGTTCGATATCTTCTGGGGCATGCTGGTTACAGGTCGACGGTGGCCCCTTTTCCTCGACCCTTTCTAGTTTTCCGACTGAGACGAAGTCGGCACTGCCTGACTTTCTCTGCAACGACTTCGTATATGTCCTAGCTTTCCACATCTCCAACATCGGATTTCCTTCTTCTCTGGTAAATTTTCTTTAAAAACTCGCCTGATTGCTTCAATTATACTGGGTTCCTCCTCTTTCTCTTCCTCGACTCTCCTTATTCTAGGCTGGCTCCTGCAGCTCTGCTTTGCCGCCTCGAATTCCAAAGCTCGAGCCAATGCATCAACCAGTTGGCTCGGACGAGCCAATGTCAGAGCCTGTCGTGTTTCATTGTCCCGAAGTCCATCCAAAAAGGCTTGAACCAGCGCCGTAGCTACAATGGTTCCGTGGGTTCGGTGGAACCAGGCCCGCTAGCTCAAGGGGCCCGCGGCCAGCGATTGGAATAAATTTTTTTTTCTTTAAATATTTGGATTAATTTTTTTAAATATATTTCAACATTCACAGGGCATTTATTTATAATAATGGCTTAAGGCTTAGTAAATAGTAAAAGACCACCAATAATAATAATAATAATAATAATTTTTGCTTGAATCATGTAAAAGCGAGTCAAAATTAAAACTTAAAAAACTATCAACAACCCGTTGGTCTTCACGCAATGATGCAATGAAGCCCTACGTTTTAAGTATCTTGATGTTCTTAAGGCCTTGTCAAAAATTATTTTAACATCTAATAATAAGACTGAAATAGACGACTCGAAGGATTTAAAAGTACATTGGAGGACTTTGAAAGTGTTTTTGATTATTTTACAATCTAACGTTTTAAATCGCATAGACACAGTATCAAAACTCTTACAAAATCAGCAGCAAGATATCCAAAAATCTAGTAAACTTTTAAAAAATGTGTTAAATCACATAAGCAAACTTCGGAATGAATTTTTAGATAAAGAGGCCACCCTATTAAAAATGCCATATAGAAACACAAAATAAAAATCTATATGGTTCTATCTGGTTCAATATAGGAATTTGAAACAGGCATTGCACTATTGAACCAGATAGAATTCCATACCTGGAAAACCATATAGAAAAGTGATTTCTATATGGATTGCCATATAGATTCATATTGCTCTATCTGGCCCAATATGGTTTGGGTGTGAAAAAACTATTACCATATAGATCCATATTTAACCATATAGGGAAATCTATATGGTTTAATATGCAATTTTCGTTTAAATATATATACATTTAAAAAAAATGGAATTCCATATTCAACCATATAGGGAAACCTATATGGAAAGACACATAAAACAGAAACCAGATAAATCCATATAAAAATCCCTAAGTTGTACATTTTAAAATGAAATTCCATATTAAACCATATAGATTCCAAAGTGTAAACCAGGTCGTTCCATATAGGAAATATAGAACCATATAAATCCATATTAGTTTCCTTATCTGGATCAATATGGGTTCTATAGGGCATTTTTAATAGGGCAATATTAAATCAAGCAAATGGGGTATAATTCCAGAATTTTGCCAAAAACGTATTCGCAAACGTTTTTTTGATGAAGTTGCAAATGACTTTGTTTTTTAAACTGCTGAAGATACTTTTAGAGATGAAGTTTTTTTTAAGACCCTAGATATTATATCAGACAGTTACAAAGTAAAACAATTAGTTTACATCAAATAGCCACTAACTTCAGTATATTGGAAACAGAAGTTCTGTTAAATTCTACTGATACAGAAGTATACCAAATGGCGGAAAACATTCGTGAAATATATGAAGATTAGGGTGTCCCAAAAAAAAAAGAATATTTTTTTTCTTCTCGTCTCTTGAGAAATTGTGTTGGTTTGTCATGTTTTAAGAGCCCTGTCAAAAGATCGGCACCATTAAAAAAATTTTAGGGGTCGCTCAAGATTTTTAAAAATTACCAAAATCGTCAAAAATTGGATTTTTTTTTAT